ATATATATATATATATATATATATATATATATATATATATATATATATATATATATATATATATATATATATATATATATATATATATATATATATATATATATATATATATATATATATATATATATATATATATATATATATATATATATATATATATATATATATATATATATATATATATATATATATATATATATATATATATATATATATATATATATATATATATATATATATATATATATATATATATATATATATATATATATATATATATATATATATATATATATATATATATATATATATATATATATATATATATATATATATATATATATATATATATATATATATATATATATATATATATATATATATATATATATATATATATATATATATATATATATATATATATATATATATATATATATATATATATATATATATATATATATATATATATATATATATATATATATATATATATATATATATATATATATATATATATATATATATATATATATATATATATATATATATATATATATATATATATATATATATATATATATATATATATATATATATATATATATATATATATATATATATATATATATATATATATATATATATATATATATATATATATATATATATATATATATATATATATATATATATATATATATATATATATATATATATATATATATATATTTATTTATTTTTATTTTATTTTTTATTTATTTTTTTTTCTTCCGGAGATGGGTTGCTGCGGCTGGAAGGGCATCCGCTGCGTAAAAACTTGCTGGATAAGTTGGCGGATCATTCTGCTGTAGCGACCCTGGATTGATGGGGGGACTGAGCCGACAAAAAAATGAATGAATGAATGAATGAATGAATGAATGAATGAATGAATGAATATATATATACATATTTCTTTATAATTCTGAGCTTTCCATAGTTCAATGTAAAGAAAATTCCAGAGTACATGAGTATAGAAATCCCTATCAACCATAGATCTGAAACATTTCTGAGCTAAATTCATTTCATTTGTGATCAGTAACTTGGTGTTACGTTAACCAGCGATCGTTCTCCGGAGATCGCTGGTTTCCACTATACTTGAACTTCACTTCCGCATTTCCCAAGACTACATATTCATACATGCACCTCTTCCAAACACACACGCCTGGTCATTCATCTATCCTGATTGCAATCCCCAGCTGAACCTTGTCACTGACTGATATCACGCCATTCATAAGCCACTCTTTCACCCTTCCAGTTTGACGAGTCTTGTTCACTGTAAAGTAGCATTACAACGCGTTTTCCTTGTCTTGTTTCTCCGTGTCTGAACCCAGCTTTGTATCCTAGTTATCCTGTCTAGCCGCCAGCCTTTCGACCTTTTGCCTGTTCCTCGATTACGACTCTGGATTTGCCCGCATATACCTGTTCATATCTGCTTTGACCATTGCTTGCCTGACAAAGAATAAACCTGCATTTAGATCCTACCTTCTGTTGTGAGTGTCACTCCCCCCAGTCGTTACACTTGGTATATTCATCTGCAAGCTGCAAAACCCTTTTTCCGTCTTCTGTTTTTCTGCACTGAGCTGATCTGCTTTCTTTAGTATCATCATTGGCCTGTTCTCCCTCATATAGAGTTATAGATTTCATATGCATATTTCAATGAAATTACAGCACACGTGACAGAAAGAGTTTTAGTATTGAACATACTTGAGTTTCTCCAGTCTGTAGTTTGGATCAGAGAGCAGCTTGACTAATGATGGTCCTGGGTGATTGTAGCTCAGATCCAGCTCTCTCAGGTGGGAGGGGTTTAATCTCAGAGCTGAAGCCAGAAAACTACAGCCTTCCTCTGTCACCATACAGCCAGATAATCTATTAATAAACACACCCACACTCAATATCATATCATCTAAGACTGGACATTATATTAAACTGATGTACATACAAGAGCATTTCAATCATTGTAACTCTGATTTAAATCTATTGAATCCTTGGTTCAATGTTGCACATATAATTCACTGATCACTGATTAGACTGCAGGGGTGGCCAACCCTGTTCCTGGAGAGCCACCTTC